GGGACTCCGGGATCATGACTTCAGCCAAGGCAGACTCTTGACCAACTGAGCCACCCAGGCACCCCAACGTATATACTTTAAATAAATGCTGTTTATAGTGTCAATTTTACCATTAAAATTAAAAAAATAAAATAAATGGAGGTGCCTGGCTGGCTCAGTCAGAAGAGCATATGACTCTTGATCTCAGGGTCATGAGTTTGAGCCCCACATTGGATGGGTGTAGAGATAACTAAATTAAAAAAAAAAAAAGAATAAACTTAAACATTTTAAAAATAATAATGCAGCTCAATCCAGCGTTTCATTCAAGTCTCAGATTTCTAAGTGCCTTCTCAACACTTACAAAAGTATTCATACATATCAAGGCATTTTATTCTTACATCTGCTCAGCATGAAAGGGACTGAGTGGGTGCAATTTTTCCTCTCTTAACTTGAAATGACACAAGTACTTGTGGGTTAAGCAGCTTGCCCAAAGTGCCAAAGTCAAATGTGAAGAGAACATTTTAATTTTCGGGACACCTGGGTGGCTCAGTCTGTTAAGTGTCTGTCTGCCTCTGGCTCAGGTCATGATACCAGGGTCCTGGGATTGAGCCCTGCTCGGCAGGGAGCCTGCTTCTCTCACTCCCTCTGCCACTCCCCTGCTTGCGTGTGCACTCGCTCTCTCTCTCAAATAAATACATAAAATCTTAAAAAGAAAAGAAAGAACATTTTCATTCCTATTCCTAGTCCCTACTCTTGCTCTGAGAATGATTAACAATAGTAGGGAAGGGACTATGGAGAAAGCGAAAGACTAGATTAAATTAATTATTGTTGAGAAAAGAAGAGATGAGAGAAAAAAATGAGATACTAAGTAAAGAATGGTTGCACTACTCATTAAACAATTATTAATTCAGGAGTGGCTCTGTACTAGGCACTTGCTAAATGCTGGGAATACAGTCATCAATATCAGTGACATGGTCCCTTCATAAAATTTGAAATTCAGTGGGGAAGAAAAACATTAAACAAACATACAAACTATTATAATTTTAATCATCATAAATGACAAGAGATATCACAGAGTGCAACAAGCATGTACCATAGGACGTTTTTCATAGTACAAAATATGACCTATTTGTGGTGATGACCAATTTTTTAACTCTTGGTTCTTCAGGGTTCAACTCAGTAAGTCATCCCTTTCCAGGATTCCTAAACTCACATCTTTAGAGTAAAGCAACTCTCCACTAAGATTTTATGTCTGTGCTTAGCTTTATCATAAAATTTGCCTACTGTTTGGAAACTGTATACTCCTATTTCCCCCACTGGACACTGAGCTCCTTCAAGGTAGGGCTTCTGACACTTGTCATAATGCCTAACATTTGCCACTCACTCATTTAGAAACAACTGCAGGGTGCCTAAATTCCAAGTACTAGGCTGCTGGGCACTGAATTCATTCATTTATCCAGCTATCCATTCACAGGCATCCATTCACAGGCATCCATTCACTGCCTAGACGCATAACACAATAAATGTGAAATGAATTATTTTGTTGCACCTGAAATCAGTAATCAGTGCCTTTGAAAAATAACCTGCCGTAACAGCCCTCTGCATACACCCAAACAGTATTTTCCTCGTTTACTCCCAAATATAGGCATTTAAGTCTACATTCTCTCAGACAGATGAACTTAGAAATTCATCTTCCTACAATCATGTCACCAGAAAGTTTGATACTAAGATGTTTCATCGTTTTTTCTGAATTAACAATGAAATGGGTACTGACAACCCCAGCAGGAAATGACACCTTACCAAAGTTACAGCAGTGCAGAGACTGATATAAAGCAATGGGCTTGACAGTTTCCCTTTTTGTTGTGTCCAAAAGATCCAGCAAACCTCAGTTTCCAAATGACAGTGAGCCACCACAACTCCTAGGTAGAATCTTTCTGACATTACACAGATCAAAACTCTGAGCTCAGACAAGAGACTGCATATTTACTACACAAATTACATAGTTCTAAACAACTCCGGAGAGTCACTCTCTTTTGATCTCTTTGAATATAAAAGACATACAAGATGTAGAATTGAACTTAAGAAAATTAACTCAGCAACACGGAATCAGGCTTCCAAATGACTTACTTTTTCCTGAAAGTAGTTTGCTGACAAGTTATAAATTTCCACAGTGCCATCTGTTCGAGAAACAGCCAATCTGTTTGACTGGTTATTGTAAGCCACACAGCGGATCCCTGATGGAACATAATTAAAGAAACGTACTCGATGGACCTTAAATTCACCCATTCCTGGGGGAGGGGAAAAAGAGTCATTATTGTTAAACGTTAACAGCAGCATGTCACGTGTATTATTTCTTATCACTGTCCTGGATGGAAGAGCCCAACTGTATCTCACTGAGGTTCACTTCTAAATACCTAACCAATGATGCTTTCACACCCCACACAAGAATCTACAAAACCATCGCCAGAAGCACAGGATGCTTCAGCTAAAAACGAAAAGATCAACATATAGAGCATGTCCCAGACTCCTAACAATCCTGCCAATTACCTGAGGAAAGTACTCTGGGAAAGAAGGGTGACATAAGACTGAACATAACCTCGTTCTCTAATTGAGAGTGTGCACCTAAAGGAAGGGAGGCACATCGTGCTGACCAGTTGTATCAGAGGCAGAAGCTAAGGTACTCCTTTCTATTTTGTGTGTGAGGTTTCGGGGGCTGGGCGGGGGGAGAGGGGTGAAGAGAAGAGTAAACACCACTAACACTCTGAAGAAATCAGAAATATTGACAGCCTAAATCAGTCTCTCAAAGTCAAGTCCGCAGAACTCCTGCATGAAAATCATCTGGAAAAAATGGTTTTTAAAAATACAGGATTCTGGGGCGCCTGAGTGGCTCAGTCGTTAAGCATCTGCCTTCAGCTCAGGTCATGATCCCAGGGTTCTGGGATCGACCCCGCATCGGGCTCCCTGCTCAGCAGGAAGCCTGCTTCTCCCTCTCCCACTCCCCCTGCTTGTGTTCCCTCTCTCATTGTGTCTCTCCGTCAAAT